TGGCAGGTGTCACTGGTTTTCAGCTGCGTAGCACTGCTGGGTCCTCAGTTTTGTTCTTCATTGTAGCATCATTGGTGGGCGGGGGGAAGGCACAGCTTTGAGGATATTATCCCCACATGCTAGAAACAATAATCACTATCTTTCCTAACATTTGGGAAGTATTATAAATTTTAGTCCTTTTTTTGGGTAAGCTTAGAGAAATGTTGGGAGAAGCCAGAGCAGAACTGAAGTCATTTTATTTTTTTATTTTTTTAATATAATTTATTGTCAAATTGGCTCACAAACAGTGTATACTGTGTGCTCTTGGTTTTGGGGGTAGATTCCAGTGATTCATCCCTTACATATATACCCAGTGCTCATCCCAACAAGTGCCCTCCTTAATGCCCATCACCCACTTTCCCCTCTCTCCCAACCCCCATCAACCCTCAGTTTGTTCTAAGTCTTTAAGAATCACTTGTGCTTTACCTCCCTTCCTCTCTGTAACTTCATGGAAAGAGCCTAAATGTCCATCAAATGACGAATGGATCAAGAAGACGTGGTTTATATACACAATGGAATACTACATGGCAATGAGAAAGAACGAAATCTGGCCATTTGTAGCAACATGGATGGTACTGGAAGGTATTATGCTAAGTGAAATAAGTCAGGCAGAGAAAGGCAGATACCAGATATCGTATGTTTTCACTCAAATGTGGATCTTGAGAAACTTAACAGAAGACCATGGGGGAGGGGAAAGGGAACTGAAGCCATTTTAAATGAAAGTCATGCAGACAGGTCCAGGTTTCTATGAGCAAAATCTTGTTTTCTTGGTTGTGGTCCTGGGTTTTTGCCATGTTCTCAAATTTTAAAGATTCTTTACTTTAAAGACTCACCCTTCACACTCACCCTTCAACTCTCCTATGTAGAGAACCCCCAAGGATGTTCAATGTGGGAAAACCTTTAGAAGCTAACTTTTTTTTTTAATGTTTTATTTATTTCTGAGAGAGAGACAGCGTGAGCAGGGGAGGGTCAGAGAGAGAGGGAGACACAGAATCTTAAACAGGCTCCAGGCTCTGAGCTAGCTGTCAGCACAGAGCCCGATGCAGGGCTTGAACCCACAAACTGTGAGATCATGACCTGAGCCGAAGTTGGACGCATAACCAACTGAGCCACACAGGTGCCCCAGAAGCTAACCTTTTTGAGAAAAATTTTGAAAAAGTAAACTTGGGAGTCTGAAAACAAAGTCTGAAATTTTTTCGTGAAGTTTTAAATTATGAGCTTCACCAGCTGGTGATGTTTAAACTCTTTCACAACTGGTAGACATGAATGTCAGAATGAGTAATCGGAATGGACGCCGGGCAGAATGCCTGGACAGGGACCTCGGGCCCTGATGTGCAAGGCATTTGTTCTTTTGTTGCTGGATCATGAGGAGGTTAAAGGAGTCATGAGGGCGGGGCCAGAGATTCCAGAGGGAATGGGATCCACTTCTTGGGGCTCAGAGCAGTGACTATTTGCCAGTATAAAAGAATGTCAATATATTAACAGCTGGCATGCTGGTAGTGGTACATAGAAGTGGAACATCAACTCTAGCCCTGGATTCTAAGCTGTGTGGACAGGGACCATATTTCCTTGCTCACTGTGTTATCCTCAGAACGTCCATCAGCACTTGTCTTATAATAAGGAAATAATATGTATGGAATAAGTAAGTAAATGGGCACCAAATAAATATACACATAAGGATATGCCTCATCCAGATGAGAGCTCATAGTGACAGTGGGAGACATTTTCCTATCAGTAAAACAGGATTATGATGATATGTGCCCTTTTTCTTTATTTCACAGAGAGAACTCCGAAATGACACTTAGGAAAAACAATTCATTTTACTGTCCTTAGGAGAAAAGCCCACTGAATAAATCCTGAGCATTGTGTTTGGCACGGCGCCTGGCACCTGTGGGAGCCAGGGCGGTCAAGAACAGCAATGATGATCATCGCGGCGGTATCACTGCACTTGCTAATATACTTTTCAACCAGAGTTAATAAGCAAAGCAGTAGTCTGAGTATTACCATTCATTTTCTTCCAGAAAATATTTTCAATGCCCCTCGATGACTGAAGGCTGACCCAAAGGCAGGCAGGTAAACATTTCTTTCAGGTGTTGCATGGTTTATCCCCAGCCCTCCCTTCCAGCCTACTCTTCACCCCCACCCTGCATGCAAATGACACCATTAATATGCAACTTTGGGAAATGTCTCCGGGCCCAGGCCAACACACTGCCAAAAGGAATTCCTTAAATGGCGGTGCCCTGGCCTTGGGGCATCCATCGGCTTCTGTGTGCTTCTTCTCTGCCTTCCCTGTTCGCCTACAGTCTAACCGGCCCGTATGGGCAATCATAACACTTCATTGTCCAGTACCATCATTACAATATTGTTATCATCTGAGCCGGAGTCTGACACTTTCTCTAAGACCTTTCAAATAACCCCTTTACTAGGCTTCAGTACCAAACCATTCAGGGCAAATCTCTGCTTTGTGCTTGTCAGCCTTAATAGACTGGATGTCACTTGAGCCTGTAAAAAGTGCCTGCTCCTCAGCTGTCAGTCAGTCCTGGCGGTGTCAGCGGAGAGCATGGCTGGAGCTGGCTGGATTAGAGGGTAGTTACCACAGCTGTCAGATTACTGACAGCCTGACACCCACACTTCCAACTTCCTCTTACTGTATTTGGTTTCTGTTGAGCTCTCTGGACCTTTCTTAAGGTGGATCCCTCTGTTGGAAACAGATCATAATTTGGCTAGCATCTTCTGAAGTTGGGCTCTTCTCTCCTCTGTTACGATTTGTGGAAAGCTTCTTATTTTAAGCAGCGCTTATATCTCAGTGAATATTTTTAACCCCATGTCAGCCAAAATGTCATCTCATCTCGTTCTACTTTCCAAGTTTATGGACACTCCATGGGTGTGCATATGTGTGCGTCTCAATTTTATCAGCTTAATTAGTCAAGGAAATATAAGTCGCGACCAAAATGTTCCCTCTTATCCCTTCCTCATCTACAATGTTTTTATCCTTCTCTTTGATCACGCCTTTGTTGGACCCTTTATTTTAGATAGGACGCTCTGTCAGAGACAGAGAGAGAGAGAGAGAGAGAGAGCACATGTGTTAGAAGGTGTGGGTGTATACAGATTGTTGGCTTTTCTATGAATGTGGATATATATTCAGACCTAATGAAAGGCAGTCAGCTAACGGCTGAGGCAGGAAGAACAAATTGGCAACTCTCCAAACCATGCCTTCGTTAATATTCACCTTGAATACAGCCAATTAGCGAATGAAGGGTCTCTCCCTCCTTCCCTTTCTCCCTCTTTTAATTTTTCATCCACTCCCTTCTATTTTCCCCTCCTTTCCTTCTTTCTACACTTGTTAAGTGCTTACTATCTTGCAGTCTCCACACTGCTGTTCACCAGGCAAACAAAAGCAAATGTGCCTACACCCTTGTCACAAGTTCACAGCTGCCTGGTCACATTCCTCAGGTATGTTTGAATTTCACAGGCTTTCACTTCTGACCAGGGAGGCGAGATTAATTAACACTTTCATTTACTTAGGCAATAATCAAGGCCGATTTGCTGTTATGAAACCAGGCTTCAGGACCAGATATGCAACTTTTGCACAATCTTGACTTTGCTTACTATTTAACCCTGCTACAGAATTAGACTTGAGTGTGCATTCCAAGAATAGCTTCCAGCACACACAGGCCCATGCACATTGGATGCTGTGTGGCTCCAGGGGCAAGAAAGCACTAGGCTTCAGAAAACCTACCTGTACTGGGAAAGTTACTTCACCTCATTGAACCTGTTATCTTTTTTCTAAATTGGGGATGAGAATACTTATCTGCCAACCTAATAAGCCTATAGTCCATATGTGACTGACCATCTATATGAAAGCACTTTCCAAACCGCGATGTACCACAAAAGCAAATTGTGATCATAGTATTACCCTATGTGGTTATGTATCGAATTGATATTGGCACTCGCTTATTTAGACCCTTTAACTTATTCTTATTTCCTTGGCCACACATATTTTGCTTTTACTTTTCTACCATATAATCACAGTGCTGAAAAAAAAAAGACTCCCCTGTAAAAATAATAGATTACGTATGATTAAACTTATGAACTCACACTCAGATCAGGAGCCTTTAGTGGTCCTCTCTGTTCCTTACAGTGCTTTTTAACAGGGTCGTGGCTTTTTAAGACCATTGTTGTTTTCAATGAGCCCAGCAGAACGGTTCAGATTAAATTGAATCAGTGTCTACCTCAATTGCTAGGAAATTTCATACTGCATAAAGTTCAAACCAGAGACTGAAAAATGTAGTAAACATATTAGAAAGGCAGGGGGTAGAAGAAGGGTACAAGAACGTTATGGTTTCAGTGCCAAAGCCAAAGACATATTTTTTCCAGCACTTCCTCCCCATTCCAAAAAAATTTTTTTGAAATAAAAAGACCCTTATATTTCACCCAATTAAATGTTGGAAAACAGCCTTTCAATTTCATTTACAAGCATCCAGAAGTTTCACACGCAACAACCCTCCCACCTTCTCGCTTTTGCTCTAACATGCATTCTTTATGCTACGCGCTGTTGGGGTCCGTGTACCCCATGCTACAATAACCATGGCTTCCATTATTCAGCTCGCGGGCTGAAAAACATCACGTCTAACAAATAATAAGTGGGTTGCGAAAATGTTTCGTTTGCAAACCAAGCGTTCCGGTCACATTTCTGTTGAACTTCCCAGGCAAGGATGCCCTTCTACGTCAGCAAACTTAAATGCTTTTTCAACCCAGTTCCCTCCTGATCTCCACTCATCAATGAAGGCCTGTGATTTTCAAGTAAGGGATTCACCTGTGGCCCCAAAGCTGAGAAAGACAGCTGACTGACAGAGAAACAGAACCCCCAGCATAATTAGCTGAAGGAATAGATTGGCCAGCTTTTAATAAGAACCACCGTCTTATTTTTCACCCCAAAGTACAAAGAGTGCTCTTCATACCTCCTCTTCATCTCTGCTGCAGCCTAAATTCCAAAGTGCAAAACTCTCAAGACCGTACTTCTGGACAATGCAGCCAGGGCAGGCTTACGTATGCGACCTTGAACCTCAGTTTCCTTGTCTGTAAGAGAGATAAAGTTTTATTAATAGTACTTAAACTGGATTGAATGGGATACTTCATGTGAATCTGGCATAGTGGCTAGCACAAAGTAAGTGCCTAATGAATGGCGGTTATTATTACTATCAGTATTACAGCTGCTATTTGCATTCTCATTTTGACACAGGCTGAGTTCCATAAGACTTCGTGGAAAGTTGAAGAAACCTTCGAGGTGTTAGTCTTATGTGTACCTGATCCTGTGCAATGATACATTTCTAGTCATTCATTCATCCCCACATTTATTTAGTTCATTCAACAAATTAAAAAAAAATATTTTTAGGGGCGCCTGGGTGGCTTAGTCGGTTAAGCGTCCGACTTTCGCTTAGGTCATGATCTCGCGGTTCGTGGGTTTGAGCCCTGCGTCGGGCTCTGTGCTGACTGCCAGCTCAGAGCCTGGAGCCTGTTTCAGAGTCTGTTTCTCCCTCTCTCTCTGCCCCTCCCCTGCTCACGCTGTCTCTCTCTCTCTCTCCTAGAAATAAATAAAAATATTAAAAAAAATTTTTTTTTTATCTTTACTTATTTTTGAGAGAGAGAGAGAGACAGAGTATGAGCAGGGGAGGGGCAGAGAGAGAGGGAGGCACAGAACCTGAAGCAGGCCCCAGGCTCTGGGTTGCCAGCACAGAGCCCCAATGCCGGGTTCCAACTTGCGAAACGGGAGTTCATGACCTGAGCCGAAGTCGGGTGCTTAACTGACTGAGCCACCCAGGTGCCCTCATTCAACAAATATTTAAAGGTCTGCTGTGTGCCAGGCACCAGGCCAGATGAAGAGTTACAGAGATGAACATTACTTGCCCTCCAGGGATTCCCGGACAAGTGGAGTAGGCAGAGATGTTAACATTTCCTAGGAACGTAACCAGAGCTATGACAGAAATATGGAAATGCGGTGCCAGGAGCACTTAGGAAGTAGCATTTTCTTCTACTAGAAATGTTAGTAAAGGCTTCTGAGGAGAGACACCTCTGAGGTGAATCTGAGATTACACTGCAGAGCAGAACAGGGAAGGGCATTTTAGGAAATATGCAAAGACATGACCAGACTGTGACCAGGTAGGTGTGTGGAGGGGAGGGGTGCATGGGGCCGTGGGGGAACGGTAGCCTCCCATGCTGTGGGGGACAGCAACAAGCAGGTCCACTGACGGAGCCTTGAACACAGGCACACAGGGCTTTCCTCAAAGTTTAGGGATCTGCTGACAATTTTGAATGAGAGAATGACAGGGTCAGATTGCATTCCAGAAATACCATGCTAGATGCAGGGTGACGGGCATATTTATGCCAAGAGTAAGGCCAGCAGGGAGATAACAAAGGCCAGAGACAGAGAAAATGGGGAGGAAGGAGTGAATCCAGAGATGACGAGGAGGAGGAGGAAAGGTCGGAGGAAGAGGACACGGCCTGGCTTTTGGAGAGCTGGGCCTCGGGGGTGAAAGGAAGCCAGAGCTCACAGTGCTTTCAGATTTCTGACCCAGGGGACCCCAGAGAGAGTGAAGTACTCACCAGGACGGCAAGTATGATGGACGACGTGGTTTAGAGGGAGAAGCAAAGGATAAGGACAGGCGGGGGCCCGGGAGAAACAAGTCTGTGGCCTGGGGCAGGTTAAATATGAGGTGTCCGTGGGACATTTAGTGAATATGCTCAATAATGACATGACGCTTCGGTGAAGGCCCGGGAGGAAAATGAGGGCATTTCTAGAGTGGGCTTGGTGTTTGAAGCCATAGTCGTGGAGGAGGTTGGAAGGAGACGGTTGCCGAAGAGGGCACAAGACATGCCCCGGGACGGAGCCCCTGATGCTCCAGCGTTAGGGATGAAGAAAGGAAGCGGGCCCCGGGCGGAGCCCAAGAAGGGCTGGGAAAGCAGACGGAGTGCTGGAGAAGCCACGTGGACGGTGGCAAAGATGAGGGCGGAAGCGTGGCCATTTCATTTTGGAGAGAAGCTCAGGAGGCCGAGGGTCTTCAGAGTGGACGATGACCAGCCGGCCCGGTGAGAGGAAGTGGCAGGACTTCTGCGCGATACGCTGGGGAGAGGGGCCAGAGGCCAGGGGACAGCATCATAAGCTTGCGGGGGGCACTGGGCAGGACAGGCTGAACAAGAGAGGCAGAGGACTGGCCTCGTAGGGCCATCAGATTCTTGCCTCAAGGTTCAAGCCCCACCTCTTTGCCGCCTGCTCTATTTTCCTTATCACAAACTTGATTGCAGCTTGGAAATCTTTAATCCTGTTTTCTTCACCCCTCTCACTTCAAACATACATAATAAATGGAGAGAATTAGCATTTGTCATCCCCTAGAATCCCAGGTGGCTCAAAAAAGAGTCCCGAGGAGCTCCACTTACATATTTTTTTGTTCTGAAACCGCTCCTTTCAAACTGATTGCATCACTGCCTCCCGGAAAACCCGACAGGTATGATACTCCCCTTGCCTAACCCTGCTTTCTTCCTCGCAGCAGGCAGGAGTGACGAGCTGCCTGTAACCAGCAGCTGAGACACCCAGAGACCCGGTGTCTTTGAACAGTATCCAGCGCTTCCTTCCCCAAACTGCACGAGCGCCTGCCTGGGCTGAGCAGCAAGAGAGAGACATCTGTGATATCTGATGACAATCATCTCTGATTAGACTGTCACTACACAGCACAGGCGAGTCGGGGCCACAGCTAATTAGCTATGTGAGGCCAGCTCTCTGTTTACTGGAACTGTACTAACAAGTTGCAGCTTTTCCAACGCAGAGGAGTCACTGCACATATGCCAGCCGGGAACCCTTCACTCCAACAGTTTAGGGACCGAGCTGCTACTTCTTGGGTACACAAAAACCGTGAAACATTAATGTCTTTGCGCCGTGAGCCACTCTCAGTCCGTGTTTCCACCTTCTGCAAGCTGTCGCTTCAAGGAAAAGTAGTAGACTAAACTACTTTATAGAATCTGATATTATTCTAAGTGGGCTTGTACTTGTAAGTGGACATCTCTTACTTTCCGGTTTTCCGTGGTTCTTGGGCTGTGTCAGGGAAATCAGCGAAGTCTGAGAAATGTAGCTACGACTGGCTCTTCTCATTTGAGCTAAAGGGAGAAAGAACCAGATGAAAAATTAGAAATTTAATGGAAATTAAGGACACAAGACCTTTCTTATCCCCTTGGTGATTGATAGAGTTCATCGATTGTTCATGAACATAATGCCCACCAGTATTTCCAACTGGTGCCACAGAACCAGTACAAATGTTTTTGTAAACTTTTTTAACTCAAAATGTTTTTCTAAACTTTTTTTAAACCTAAGTGAACATGTCCGTGTAAGTTCTCATTTGCTCATTACAAAGGTTTCTCTGATAACTCCAAGAGATTATATGCTATTCTGTAGCTTACATTTCCTTTAGAAACAAGTGTGTCTAAGTCATAACAAATGTGGCGTGGGGGGCAGAAAACTGGAGTGTTTTGCAAGGTTAACCAAAATTGGCAATAACAGTCTCTGGATTACTGTCAGAAGCCCAAACCCTGGCAAATGGATTCATTTTTTTCATATGATGCATCTACGACCTACTCTTAACAGTCCCTAATTTCAGGTCACAATAAGATCAGTGTTTTGCTGAATTCCCACTCTCCTTCCCTTAGAACAAGTTTGTTCAGACTTCCTGAAAACAGAATTTCAGCCTTATTCTAAAAGCCTGTACGTTGTTATATAAGTGGATGACTGTTTGTGGGCTCTTAACATTTGAGATGGATAAATATTTTTACTCATTTTCTGATGAAAACTATAGGCTGTGCTCTTGAAAATACTTGTGGAGTTCCTGGCACTGCAGTATAAAATGCAATCTGCGGGGAATATAAATATTTTCAATAAACTCTATTATGGATGTGGTATTTAATTTGGGCGCTGTTTAAAATTTATGTATTTACGTTTAGCATCAAAAGTGCATTTCAGAATAGGTTTAGACAAATCTCCATATTCAAAATTCAAAAAGAAAAAGTCTTAGCATGTTCATTCATTTTGTTTATGTCCATAATTTAAAACAAGCAAACTTTTTCTCTTAATGAAAGTTTGTGTGTGTGTGTGTGTGTGTGTGTGTGTGTGTGTGTGTTTTAACTTTAAACAAAATTCCCTCTCCAGGTGGAAAGTTGATTACCAATCTTTGGTCTGGAGGTAAATTTTACAGCTGTTTTAAACCCATGAAAGTGGGTCTTATATTAGAAGTGCTGACACAGCCTATCCACACTGTATGGACATGAACTATACCGCTGTAATAAGCAGTTATTATGTATGTGTAAAAATAATGAGAGGCCGTGTCTGAAGAGAGTTAATGTAAAATGCTAAGCAATTATAGTTGGTTACACAGTATAGGTTAATATTCCTTCATATAGCTGCACTTTTTTCTTCTTTTGTCCTCCAGAACTCCTAATGAAAATTTGAGACCTGACTGTAATGATAAGCAGCCTTTCACACGTCCTCTGTGTCAAGGCTGTTGCATTAATGCTTCCCTTCATATAACATTTTGCATAGCCTAAAGCATCTATTAAAATCCTTTGTAAAATTCATGAAACAAAAGTGGTGGGTTGAGTCTAGGGGGAGAGAAAGTAAGCTGCTTATTAGCAAAAAGTCAAAAACACAGGGCCAATTACAGATCCGAACAAGCAGGGCTAAGGACCAGCATGGGGAGTAATTCTTTCTTCAGCCCAATGGGCTCAAGCGAGGGGCAGGTTGGGTGAAAATACAGCAACAGTCAGGAGCAGTAATTAAACGGAGATGTTTGCAGTTAGAAACAGCTCTATAACAACGGAAGGAAATGCTCAACTAACACCATTGTCTGGCCTCACAAAGATGCTAAATTGGAAGGATTTAGGGTTGCTCCCTAAAGAAGAGACTGGAGGTAGTGAAGAGGAGCCGGGGCTCAGGAGATATGTAAAGAATCTGTTTGGTATTTCAAATGTTATAAATTAGATTTTTAAAAGAGAGAGAGAGAGAGTGTGTGTGTGTGTGAGAGAGAGAGGGAGCGCCTTCCTACAGACCCAGCAACATAAAACCGAATAAACCACAATAAGATTGCCCTTTTTCTGTTATAAACTTGGCATTAAGCCTGTCATGTTCAATGACAGCCTACTAGGCCTCATGCTTTACCCTTTGGAATTTGAAAGATTGGCAGGTGTCATGATTTCCTTAACATAAAAGACCTTGCAGATAATGTGCACCATGCACATTTATACGTCCATAACTCCACTTTCTGCATTTCAGTACCACTGGACCAGCTTTCCGGGCAGGCTGGTGGTGCGGGGGTTCCCCAGAAGTGTATCTGGCCCGAGGACAGTGTTTACTGCCAGAGGAGCTTGCAGTCGAGGCCGTACTTTTATGATTTGCCTTAGCAGTCTAAACATGCACCATTTACAATAATGAGCTGCTTTGTAGAAAGCGGCTCTCTGAGAGCATTGTTACTTTTCTTTGCAATGTGGAATGCAATCGGAATGGCTCTCCTCTGACTTAATGCTGGAAACAGGGTCCCATTTAAACAATAATCCCCTCTCTTTCTCTTTGCAACTGCCCACCCCAGCCAGATTCTTCCAATAACTCCAAGAGGAAAAAAAAATCAACACTGAGGGAAACACAAACCCCTTATTGAAGTCTGAGAGTTCTATTTCAACTGGCATCACCTAATGGCCCCTGTTTGTTACCATCCAGTATCCCTTTAAAATAAACGAGTGAGTCTTTTCAGAGGAATCGGTGGCCAGAATGAGCATCTGCCTCTTTTTTCCAACCCAAAGAGAGAGAATGAATAGTTAGTGAGGTACTAACCGTTTAACAAAGTAATTTTCACGTGAGAAATTCAGTAAATCTGTCCCCACACATCTGAAGCTTTTTAGCATAGAAAAAATTAAAGCTACAAAAAGAGACAGAGCAATATAATAACCCCTATGTACTCATCGCCCAGCTTCAACCAGTATCATCTCATGCTGGTGACCAATCTGGTTACATCTGTATTTCCACTCACTCCCCCACCTTGTACTGTTTTGAAGTAAACCCTAAGTATTATTTCATTGGTCATGCCTGTAAACATTCCAGCAGGAATCTCTAAAAGATAAGAATTCTTTGGTAGTTTTTTAATAGGTCAAGGAAATAGCTGAACCTCACAGCCTTTAAGACTTTTGCGGATACGTTTTCCCATGAGCTGCATTTCTCTACATTAATACCATTTTATCACATGTTGAAAATAGAAACACTTCAAGAGCGTTGCTAATCTCTGGTTTGTTTCAGAGGAGAGTTTTTCTCACTTATTTCAGGGGTAGAGGTAGCCAACTTTTCTTCTGTGAGCTATTGTCTTATTATTTGCAAATGATCACTTTTGGCATTCAAATATAATTACATATTTCAAGGTATCTATCTTCGGGAAAATTTTGTCTTTTCCTCTGAAAAGACAAAAAGTTCGACAAAAAGTTTGATTCAGAAGTATATACTGACCTCTTGCTATATGCCAAGCTCTGTTAGATACAGCAAGAAAGAAATAGCCAGGCAAGGATTGCAAGATACATGAAATAGACTCATTCCTCTCACAATGACCTGCAAGCTCGTTGGACACCTTAGAGAGATCATCTTACTCAATGGCTTTTTATACTGCTAAATGATGCTAAATAAAGAAGAGTTTGGTGGGTTTTTTTAAGAATGGCAAAAACTTGCCATTTCTAGCCCTTATACCACTGTTGTTTCCTTAATTGCCCCAAAAGATAAATCCGCTACTCAGATATAAACCTTGATGTACTCCCTACTCATTTGTAAAGAGGACTACCCAAGCCTTGTAAAGAAAAATACATTTATGAATAAACTGTAAACATATAAAAGTGAATTACTGTATTTGTAAAAACTTTTATGCAGATTTTTTTCCATTAAAGAAAATCTTTTTCTCCTTTGGTTTCTTACATGCATAGTCTCAGTAATTAGCCAGAAAATACAACAACTTTTAAATGACAACATTCTACCTCTGCTTCCCTTAGAAAACCAAAGGGGGTGGGTAGTCCTTGTTATCTGACATGGCAAAATGACGTAAGTTTTAAAGGAGTAGAAGATAGTTCCTTTTAAAAAGTTTTGTTGTAATATATAAAAGAATATCTGTAACAGAAATTTGAGTTATAAATCATATTAAAATGAATACCCATGAATTTACCACCCAATACAAAAACTACACCATGGCCGAAAACTTTGGTAACTCCTACATTGGCCCTACCTCATCTCCAGAGATAACCTCTATCCTGAACTTTGATTTTTTACCATTTCATAGGTTTTTAAAAGCATAATTTTGCTATATGTGTATATATCATTATTATTTACCTTTGCTTATTTGGGGGCTTTTGATCATATCATGTGTTGTCTTTTGAAACTTTCTTTTCTCAGTCAACATTTAAAAAAATGTTTTTTAAATGTTTTTATTTATTTCTGAGAGAGAGAGAGACAGACAGACAGTGTGAGCAGGGAAGGGTCAGAGAGAGAGGGAGACACAGAATCTGAAGCAGGCTCCAGGCTCTGAGCTGTCAGCACAGAGCCCAATGTGAGGCTCGAACTCACGAACCGTGAGATCATGACCTGAGCCAAAGTCGGACGCTTAACCAACTGAGCCACGCAGGCACCCCTCTCACTCAACCCTTTTGCCCAAAGATTCATTAGTAATTCGTGTGCCTGTGTGTCACCCATGTTCCCCACCTGCATAATACTTCACTGTGCAAATATAACACAATTATTTATCCATTCCTATCAATGGGCACTGAGTGGTTTCAAGTGTTTCTGTTTGCTTGCTTTTTTTGCAGATATTGTTGCTATGACCTTCTTGTCTTGGTCTCCCGGTGCACAAATGCAAGAATTTCTCCAGCACTGAATGTCTTTCCCTCTTAAAAATCCCAAGAATGGCAAGTAGGGGAACATACTGCTTCTCTTTCTGTACTTAAAGCTGTTTTGCATCCCACTAATTAAATTAATCTCGTGTGAAAAAGTATATAGTTTTTAAATTATGGTTTTTGTGTAGGTAGGACAGTGGGATTATGACCAACAGCAGGAAGCTTCTGCATGGATTGCATCACGAAGCCCTTGAGCTGGGAGAATGAACCAAGAGAGGTATGTCAGAGGTTTCTGAA